ACAGATAAGATTAGAATTTCAACAGCCAATCCATATGCAAAAGAACCTCCTCAGGAAAGCTCCTCCATTAGCATGTCACAGCCTGGGAAACTCCTACAAGATAATGACTCAGCCCTACCCCACCTTCCTGAGTAGACATAAATTACCTGCCTACCATTTTTCTTCTCACCTTGACACAGAGAATACTCCTTCTGTGTTATACCTCTGAGGATGCCAGGCACAGCTGCTGGCGAAACGTCAGGTCCTACTATGCCAAGACCACAGCCATACAGCCCGGAAAATCTACAGGTAAGGAGCTTGGACTCTCAAAAGCTTATACCCCGAAAACCTTGTTGGTCTCTAAGGTGCTACTAGACTCAAATCTAGTTCTAATAAGCATGATGTAGGTTGATCCTATCAACATGAGGTGGCATCTAATAAGCAACATACTCGGACTAGAATTACCAAAATCTGAATGAGCATAGCATATTAGGCATGATACAGAGTTTTGATATAATGAAGGAAACTGGTACTGCATCAGTAGCAAACCATGAAACGACAATAGGGTATTACATACAGCAAGATCACACCATCATAGTTAGAGTAAGGCTTAGAGACTGCTATCCAAAACATTTTAGTTCCTCTTTTATATTAAAAGTTGTTTGATGGCCATTCCTCATCCTGGGAGTCTTTTTCTGTGGACCCAGAACTATAACCAGGTGTCAGAAGTTGAAAATAGGAAACACTTCCTTGCTGCGCAGGTGGAAGCAGAAGACAAGGAGTTGTGAGAGTCACACCCAAAGAAAGCAAGATGCAAGAAGGCCTTGTAAGCACCGCTGAACTGAAGGAACCTTAGTAAACATGGATGTGTTACAACCACCACGAAACCTGCAGTTATCAGGGGATTTGCAGAAACAGGGCTTTGAACTCCATTTGGTAGCTATAGGAACAAAAGGGGGGAAAGTAATAAAATCGAAGTCTCTGTTTTTCTACACGTCGCTGGAGAGGAGGCATTGGACATTTATGATAATTCCAGGTTTGCGAAAGGTAAGAATACAAAAGTAATAATTGACGCACTGGAAGAATATTACATACCTAAGAAGAACAAAACAATTTTTTTTTTGCAAGCACACAGAAAGCAGATTCAACTACGGATTGATATTACAGAATTAAGGAGGTTAGTAAAAGTATGTCTCAGACAGAGGTCATTTCGGGGGGAACGCGGGGGAACGCAGTTCCCCCAGGTGAGGTACAGGGGGCGGGGCACATGACGAAGCCCCACCCCCTGCTTCCGGCCGCCCCGCTTCCAGCCCTCATTCAGCCAGGAGGAGGCAGGAGAAGAGGGAGGGTAAGTTGCTTCCTCCCCGCCTCTCCCCACCCCTGACTGCTTGGGGCCAGGGAGGGCCTTGGCGGGGCTTCCTCGCACTCCCGCTGGCCTTGCAGGTCCACCACCGGGCCCCTGATGTCAGGGGGTGTGGCATATGCTAATGAGTTATGCTAATGAGTTCCCCTAGCTCTTTTTCTACGAAATGACCCCTGGTCTCAGATAAGGGACAGAATTGCTTGTAGGAATAGAATTTCCTGTAGTATCAGATATACTGTCCTCAAAGAATGGCTGCTACAAGAGAGAGAGATTTATCCCTAGACTAAGCTCTTATCTGGGGACTCCATCTGGTGCCTACAATATCCAAGGTTGGGCCGGCGATATCCAAAATCAAACGATGGACCTGCAGTACCTAAGTTGGCCCTACAATATCCAATATAAAAAGTTGGGCCTGCAATAAAAGGTTGGGCCTACAATAGCCCAAATCAAATAGGGTTCCCCTTCTTCCAGTTGGGGGGAGGTTACCTGCTTTCGGGGGCCCCAATCAGTCATTGCTCAGCTGTCCAGCGGATGGAGCCCTGCTCCCAAGCAGCCCCATCAACACCTACATACCCAGTGCAATGATGTCACCTAGAGGTGACATCATCAAGCAGGGCACACTGCGTGGGGGGGGACACTCTAGCATCTGGGGGGGGGAATCTATGGTAACCGGGATATCCAGGAAAGTGGGCTGGAGCCCCGTCCCGGCAGCAGGTAGGGACCTGGCAACCCTAAAATCAAATGTTGGGCCTACAGTACCCAACATCCAAGGTTGGGCCTGCAATATCCAAGGGCGAGGAGATCCAATTGTAAAACCACAACGGGGCTCTGAGCCTGTGGGGTATTTACTTTTTAGGGACGCTGCAAACCTCGTCTCACCAGCTGCGGAGATGAGAGGGAGGTGGGATATGGTATCCAAAACCACTCTGACCTAGATACTTCCATGGCTTAATTAAAAATGAGGGCCTTACTGGATCAGACTGATGCCCACCATTGTATTTTGACCAATCTTCAGCCAAGAGCCCAGAGTGATGACATTCTTGGACTGGTTGTTCCTAGCATGCTACTTACACAGATGCTGTACTTGAAGTTTCATTGAGCTAACGAGGCTAATAAGTGTGTGGGGAAATTATTCTCTATGATTTTGTCCAATAATTTTATTAAGGCCTTCCTAGTGGTAACAACTGTCCCATGGGGGCCATGGCTCAGTGGTAAAATATCTTCTTGGCATGCAGAAGGTCCTAGTTAAGCACCAAGTGATGGGAAAAATCTCTACCCTTGAGTAGGGTTGCCAGGTCTTACCTGGTGGGGGGGTCCCTCTCTGCCCTTGGGACTTTTTGGCACACACCACGATGACGTCACCCAGAAGTGACATCATTGCACAGGGCACGTTGCGGGGGCACTCTAGCATTTGAGGGGAAATTCTATGGGAACCATAGAGTTTTTTCTCAAATGCTAGAGCGTCCCCCGCGCAATGTGCCTTGTGCGATGACGTCAATTCTGGGTGACGTCTTTCTGCCAGGCACGTTGGTGCAGATGGGGCTCTTTGGGGGCTGGGCTCCCCGTGTCGGCCGGCAGGGCAGCGGCGGATTGGGGCCCCTGAAAGTGGGTAAAACTCCCACCCCCATCGGGGAAATGGCAACCCTACCCTTGAGACCCTGCGAACTGCTGCCAGTCTACTAGACAACAGCAACCTGGATAGACCAATGAATCTGACCCAGTAAAAGGTGGCTACAACCAACCAGCATCACTGGTGGCCAGCAACTCAAGGAATATGAGACAGGGGGAAATCTCGTTCCTCCCACTTCTCTCTCCTTATTCCTCGCCTCCAGCCCCAACACCATCTGTTCTTTCCCCCCCTCTCTATATTTTAAAGCCCTGATTGGGATGGCTCAGGCTAACCTGATGTCATCAGATTTTGAAAGTGAAGCAGATTCGGCCATGGTTAAGTATTCGGATGGGAGACCACTAAGGCAGTCCAGGTCTGATACACGGAGGCAGGCAATGGCAAACCACCTCTGAGTGTCTCTTGCTTTGAAAACCCTACAGGGTCGCCATAAGTCGGCTGTGACTGGATGGCGTTTTCTATCCCCTCCACCTTTTAAAGTACCAAATACTTTCGTTTTCTGGGGAGGGACTGCATTCCAAGTCTTTGATCATTTTAGTTTTCCTTTCAGAACCATAGAATCATAGAGTTGGAAGGGACCTCCAGGGTCATCTAGTCCAACCTCCTGCACAATGCAGGAAATTCACAAGTACCTCTACCCCCACCCCCAGTGACCCCTGTTCCACGCCCAGAAGATGGCCACAAAAGCTGCACAATCTCCAGCCAAACTGGCCTGGAGAACAATAGCTTCCTGGCCCCAAAGTGGCGATCGGCATTTCCCTTGGCGTGTAAGAGAGGGTCACAAGACCTAAGCACTGACGCAACCCTTCCTGCCCTCCTTCTCTCTTTGTCAGCACTGTGACGTGCTGTTGCCAGCGCTAAGTTGGATCCGAGGCCAAATAAAAGTTGCATTATTTACAAAGATATCACTTGTTGCATACCAGTGACCATGCTGCATCAATCACATAATCATACAGAACGTGTCATTTGCAAAGTGCTTTACGCTTTTTATTAGGTTCGTCCTCACAACAACCCTGTGAGGTAGGTCACTTGTGCCCATTTCATAAATGGAGAATTGAGGTCGAGAGACTGTTGCCCAAATCCAGCATGGGAGAGCCCCACATGCCATCCACACTGCATCCAGTTTCTCACTGAGTTTAATGGATGCCTGCAGTGCAAACAGGGAAGGACGTGGTTTCAAAAAAATACAACTCGGCTGTATTGGGACCATTATCTTGAACCCAGGTCTCCTGGACCCTTGCTGCTTGCTAAATTTAACATTGTTATCATTATATGGTATTGTATAGCCAGGAGATCCTAAGATTGTTTGGCAGCGTTAAGCTCTAGCCCTTTTATCATTATGCACCACTAGGTGGCAAGCCAAACATTTTTTGGGTTCAGAGAGCTCTGAGAGAGCTGTGACTGGCCCAAGGTCACCCAGCTGGCTTCATGTGGAGGAGTGCGGAATTTGAACCCAGTTCTCCAGATTAGAGTCCGCGACTCTTAACCACTACACCACACTGGCTCTCTAGATTTAACATTATTTGTGTCCATGGCCAATGTTGCTACAATTTAGGACACACACAACCCACCAACTTGCATTTTTTCTAGTGCATCACAGATTAAAAATGTAGTTGCTCCAAATATAATTATTTATTTCTCTTTTCAAGAATGACAATGGGACAATGTACAGATGTTTTCACTCAAGTGCAGTATAAAATCTTTTTATATTTATATATTTACACACACCCACACATTATGTCATAATTTTTTTTTAAACAAAAATCGGGGATACCGTCCTGATCTATTATTACATGCACGCCCTTGTGCACACATACGCAAAAGAAAAACAACAACAACCAAATATTTAGTGCTAGCCATAAAGTTCCAGTAGGATTGCAATTTGGCATAAAAAAAACCGCCACTTCGGGTTTTTGGAGAAATTGTTTGACATTATCCAAAAGAGAGTTTTAAAGTCGTTAAGACACAAAATAAAGTTTGAGTTTTCCTTTTTTTTTCTCTTTTGCAAAAGATATATACATCAAAAAAATAAGAGCCCAAAAAACGGCCTTGGTTTTTAATGCTATTAGAAAGCTATATAATGTGCATGAGTCCTCTTCTTATCGATGGGGAACAACAAAAGCTCTCCAGCTTCCGGGAATTTCCTCCGGGAATAATTCTGCTTAAGTACCTGTGGGAGAGAGGAAAGGGTGAGAAAGTCTCCTTCTGCGTCTGTCTTAGGAACTGAAAAATGTTTTACGTTTTGTTTTGCAGTTACACTTTCTGCCCTGGATTCAGAATGGAGCCTGAAATCAAAACCTCCACATGGTCAGAAGTCTCTTGATGACTGTAATAGTTGTATCAGTTCTTTTTTTTAATAGATAAACATCTTATTGAAATATCAAAATATACATGAACAGACAATAAAATTAGTAATAACCATCAACATTCAAAAACAGAGTAAAAATAAACAACAAGAAAGCTGTCGAAATAGTTAAAGCCATTCAATATATAGCAATAATTTTAAGATTATCGGGAAGTGCTGCTTCGATCTTACTGTGTTTTTCTTTTTTTTTTTAATAAATTTCTTTATTGAGTTTCACCTTTAATAAACATACAAACATAAATCACCATTCTCTTATAAGTCAATACCTCACCCTATTAACATTTGGTTACATACAGTCAATGTCTAGATTTTCTTTGATTGATATAATGCTGTTCTGTTATAGCGTTATAGCTATATGAAATGACAGACCAGAAACCGTTTGGGAACCGTTCCTCTTCCGAAATATATTGCCTGTCTGAAATTCCTCCAGCTCTTTATGAACCTCAGGAATCTTGATTCCTTCCCAGAGGTTAAGTAATACGACTTCTGGTTTCAAGGGAATAACATAACCTGTGATATCTTGAATCAGTTCTAATAGCTGTCCACCTCTTTGTCTCGGGACACTCTTCGCACCCTCTGACTGGCTGCTTTCAGCAGCCAAAAAACCCAAGAAGACAGAGATTGGGACAAGAAACCAGATGAAAGAAGCTTTGATGCTTGAAAAGCTTATGCCCTGGAAATCAGTTTGGTATTTAAGATGCTACTGGACTCAAATCTGGAGAGAAACCAGGCACTGCAAGAGAGAGAGAGAGAGTACATGGAGGCTCCTGGAGAGTCCATGGCCGGTTGTAGCAGCTGCCGGATGTGACAGCTGCTACAGTTACATCAAGACTTCTGACTATATGGAGACATACTGATGGGCTCTATCCAATTGTTGATCCTAACAGTAGCACAAGTTCAACTTCTGTGTTAAGGAGGAGGAGGAGAGGAGGAGGAGTTGGAGAAGTTGATTTTATACCCCCACTCTTCACCACTCGAAGGAGTCTCGGAGCGGCTTACAATTGCCTTTCCCTTCCTCTCCCCACAACAGACTCCCTGTGAGGTAGGTGGGGCTGATGGAGCTCTGAAAGAACTGTGACTGGCCCAAAGTCACCCAGCTGGCTTCATGTGGAGGAGTGGGGAATCAAACCTGGTTCTCCAGATTACAGTCCACTGCTCTACAGCCTTTGAGGTGGGGGGGGGGAGGAGAGATAAACGGCTTCTGTTCAGAATTTAGTTATACTGAACAATTTCATCGTTGCGGTCTCCCTCTGATAATATGCTAATGAGATACTCCCAGGTGCCAAGCAGATTGTGTAGAGTTAGGGAACCCGCTGGGCTGTGCAGGTATGATTTAGGTATCCATTTGTACAGAACCTGCAGAACTGTCGGGGGGGGGGGAATGCTTTTCCCTAGATTGCCCCAGAAACTTGAATAATTTAGTGGAAATGGGGGTCCGGGATCCAGTAGAAACATAGCAGCATATTTAGAGCCTGAATGTTAACTGAGATCAGCGTCCTATCTGAATTTAATATTCTTAATCCATTTGTTGAAACGTTGTTATGTAATCCGGAGACGACGTTGATTATGTACCTTGGTTCAAGGATTTTCTATTGAGTTGTGTATCATGTTGTAGTGCTTTAGATTGCAATACATAAACAGCCTTCTTTATGAGTCTTATGACTGTTTGATTGTGGGTCAGACTATCACGACTGTTGGCTTTATACTTGTTTAACTGGGCACTGTGTGAGACAGGATGCTGGACTAGATGGACCATTGGTCTGATCCAGCAGGGCTGGTGTAGTGGTTAAGTGCGTGGACTCTAATTTGGGAGAACCGGGTTTGATTCCCCACTCCTCCACTTGCACCTGGCTGGATGGCCTTGGGCAAGCCGTAGCTCTGATAAGAGCTGTTCTTGAAAAAGAGCAGTTTCTGTCAAGAGCTCTCTGAGCCCCACCTACCTCACAGGGTGTCTGTTGTGGAGAGGGGAAGGGAAAGGAGTTTGTAAGCCGCTATGAGACCCCTTTGGGTAGTGAAAGGCGGGGTATAAATCCAATCTCTTCTTCTTCTTATGTTCTTATGAAGGCCTCAGCCTCTATGCCATGTTGTTGGCCATCTAGAGGAACTGGTTGGCCACTGTGTGAGACAGGATGCTGGACTAGATGGACCACTGGTCTGATCCCACAGGGCTCTTCTTCTGTTCTTATGAAGGCCTTGGCCTCTGTGCCCTGTTGTTGGCCATCCAGAGGAACTGGTTGGGCACTGTGTGAGACAGAATGCTGGACTAGATGGACTATTGGTCTGATCCAGCAGGGCTCTTCTGATGTTCTTAATAACCACTAAGGAAGGAGAACCTACCACATCCCTGGGCAGCCAATTCCACCCTTGAACTATTTCTAATGCAATGCTGTCCAGGGAACAGAAAACATTGAGAAGTCAACATTCCCGTGCTTGACTGCAATGGGATGTCCAAAATGACTCTCAGCAGCTTTGAGTGGGGTCTACCAATCCCCTGGTCCCAAGAACTCCTCATCTGTAGCATGTCGCTCACCTTTTCATCTCACTCACCTTGCAAGAGATGTAGTAGGTGACTTCTCTGATCCATACTGCACCTGACGCCTTCCTTATCAATTAAAGAGCATCAGAGATTATGATTTTAAAAAGGGAAAGATATCTTTGTCGTTTCGAAGCTCTGGAGCCCGGACCATACCTGATTCTTGTTTTCTTATGCGTCTCCATGGTCCATCTCGACCTCCTCCAAATCAGCAACATCCTCAGCTCGCGACAAGATGTCCGCCATCAGCGCCTCTTCTAGTTTTTTGCGCACCTGTTGCACTCGCTCCTCTTGTTTCCTGAGGAGTCATTCAAAAACCCATAAATTAAAATGTTAGCACTTCATTAAGAAAAAAAGAGAGTTCAGATTTGGCAGTCTTGACCTGGATGGCCCGGGTGAGCCCTATCTCATCAGATCTTGGAAGCTAAGCAGGGTCGGCCCCGGTTAGTACTTGGATGGGAGACCGCCAAGGAAGTCCGGGGTTGCTACGCAGAGGCGGCCAATCGCAATCCACTTCTGAACATCTGTTTGCCTTTAAAAACCCTACGAGGTCACTGTAATTTGACTGTGACTTGATGGTGCTTTCCCACCCCCACGATTTGACTGCTGCAAATGGCAAGCCAAGAGGCTCCAGGACACTGTCGGCCGAAATGGAAAAGAGAAGCAAGAGCTTCAAAATGGCATCCGCCAGCAGGAGTCTGGGATTCTTAATATTCCCATGATTTCTTTGGGATGCATAATTTTCAGTCCTCTTTGACCAAACAGCAGCCCAGTTTCAAATCCTATGACACCTAAATATAAATATATTTATTTATTTAATTATAATTAAGGCACAAGTGCAGTAAAAGTCAACAGTTAAAACAGTTTAGGCAAAAATGCACATCTCACAGGATACATAATGACTACAATACTTACTCCCTTTTGCATATCCCAATGGGGTCAAAAAAAAGGGGGGGATGCCATGGGCCACGGTATTTCATGCAGCAACTTGGGTCTCAAACTGCTGAACTACCAACCTTCCACAGCCTGGTGGTGGTAGTGGCGGCGGCAGCTCCTACTCAAAAGCCTGGCGGAAGAGCTCCGTCTTGCAGGCCCTGCGGAACTGTACCAGGTCCCACAGGGCCCTGATCTCCTCCAGGAGCTCATTCCACCAGGTAGGAGCCGCCACCGAAAAGGACCTAGCCCTTGTGGCCACAAGCCTGGCCTCCTTGGGGCCCGGGGTCACTAGGCGGTGTTGTGACCCTGACCAAAGGACTTTCCGCCTCAAGAAACACACATTGGAAGTAGAAATTGAAACCCACACTTCCAGCTGTGGCAAATTATGAATTTCCTTGAAAGAGCCTCTTCGTAGGGAACCCAATATTGTTCTGACTTATCTCTCATTGGTATCCACTGAGCCCCACTGACCAGGTGAGCCTTGAATGAGAATTCACTGGTTGGAAAGGAAGTTTCAAGCAGGCTACCGTCTTCCCACCTACCTAAAATTACAGTGATGATCACACACAGTGAGTTGGATCTAACGATTACCCTACCACTAAGACTTCCTCTGAAGAAGTTCTGGTCACTGCATCTCAAAAAAGATATTATAGCATTGGGGGAAAGTGCAGAAAAGGCCAACTAAAATAATCATAGGGACGGAACACCTACCCTGTGAAGAAAGGTTGAGCGTGGAGAAATGACAATTGAAGGGCGACACGGCAGAGGTGTACGAAATTATGCATGGGACAGAGAAAATAGAGAAAGAAGTACTTTCCCCCCTTTCTCACAAGACAAGAATTCATAAGCATTCAATGAAATTAATGAGCAGTAGGCTTAGAACAGATAAAAGGAAGCACTTCTTCACTCAAAGATTAACACGTGGAATTCACCGCCGCAGGAAGTGGGGGTGGCTACAAGCATGGACAGGTTCAAGAGGGGACTGGATAAAGGAATGAAGCAGAGGTCCATCAGTGGCTATTAGCCACAAAGTATAGGTGGAACACTGTGTCTGGGGCAGGGATGCTCTGTATTCTTGGTGCTTGGGGGGCAACAGCGGGAGGGCTTCTGGAGTTCTGGCCCCACTGGTGGACCACCTGATGGCACCTGGGTTTTGGCCACTGTGTGACAGAGAGTGTTGGACTGGGTGGGCCATTGGCCTGATCCAACATGGCTTCTCTTACGTTCTTATGGAGAAAGACTTAGCATAATGGAATCACTGGCTCCAACTAGGTGGAAGGGAATCACTGGACCCAACACCAACAGAATAATAATAAGAGCTGGTTTATATACCCCACTCTTATCTACCTTAAGGAATCTCAAAGTGGATTACAATTGCCTTCCTTCCCAACCCCAGAACGGGTACTTTGTGAGGTAGGTGGGGGTTGAAAGAGTTCTGAGAGAACTGGGACTGGCCCAAGGTCACCCGGCAGGCTTCATGTGGAGGAGTGGGGAATCAAACCCACTTCTCCAGATTAGAGTCTACCACTCTTAACCACTACACTATGCTGGCTCTCAAATGCTGATATTTACTAGCCATTTTAATATATATATCATTGGCCCATGGGAATTGTCAGAAAATGTGGGCAGGGGGCAGGAAGTTATTACAGGAATGCCCAAGTTCTAATGACCAGATTTCATCTACACACTCATGATTTGCCAGTAATGGCCATTATCTAGTAAGGAAGACTGGGACCAGTCCAGAATGACAAAGATCGGAACTGATTTTCAGATCCCTGTAGTGTAGTCAAGCCTTGTGGCTTTTTGCCAGCAATCTACCAGGCACATAGAAAAATCAGTTACAGAATCATCATAAACATCCACTCTTACAGAAGAGAAACACTGAGCATATCTCATTTCTCAAATCCAAATTCACACTCCACAACCGTAGTTAAGACCTGGCTCATGGGTTGGGGCTAGACCCTCCATATGAACTGACAACCCACGTGGCGTTCTCAAACAGAACGTACAATGACAGCCGGTCCTTTGTTTCTACCAAGAGAAATCCACCAATTGTTGTTGTTCAGTCGCACAGTCGAGTCCGACTCTTCGCGACTCTTCGCGACCCCATGGACCAGATCACGCCAGGCCTTCCTGTCTTCCGCTGGCGTGGACTGTGTCCATGGGGTTTTCTTGGCAAGAATACTGGCGTGGGTTGCCATTTCCTTCTCCAGGGGGTCACGCTTGGTCTGAGTTCTCTCTCAATACCTCTCCTCAAATTCTATCCTTTGCCACAGCAGGGATCAACAGGAGTAAAACAGTGATTCAAATTGGCAGGATCATAGAACCATAGAAATCATAAGAGTTGGAAGGGACCTCCAGGGTCATCTAGTCCAACCCCCTGCACAACGCAGAAAATTCACAAATACCTCCCACACACACACACACTCAATGTCCCCAGTTCCATGCCCAGAAGATGTCAAAAAAACCCTCCAGGATCCCGGGCCAAACTGGCCTGGAGAAAAATTGCTTCCTGACCCCAAAGTGGCGATCAGTATTTCCCTGGGCGTGTAGGAAAGGGCCACGAGAACTAAGCCCTGAGGCAACCCTTCCTGCCCTCCCTCTGATGATCTGCCTAAATTCACAGAGTCAGCATTGCTGTCAGATGGCCATCTAGCCTCTGCTGGAAAACCTCCAAAGAAGGAGAGCCCACCACCTCCCGAGGAAGCCTGTTCCACCGAGGAACCAAACCGCTCTAACTGCCAGGAAGTGCTTCCTAACATTTAGCTGAAAACTCTTTTGATTTAATTTCAACCTGTTGGTTCTGGTCCGACCTTCTGGGGCAGCAGAAAACAACTCTGCACCATGGAATGTGCCTTGGAAGACAATGCAGGGGACCAACAGAGAAGAATGGAATCAAGGGAGAACTGCTCTGTAATTCGACAAAAGAGTTGAGCACACAAAACAGGAGTCATAAGAACATAAGATATGCCAATGTTGGATCAGGCCAAAGGCCCATCCAGTCCAACACTCTGTATCACACAGTGGCCAGAAATACCAGGTGCCATCAGGAGGTCCAGCAGTGGGGCCAGGACATTAGAAGCCCTCCCACTGTTGACCCCCCCCCCAGCACCAAGAAGACAGAGCATCACTTGCCCCAGAGCCCCTATCTATACCTTGTGGCTAATAGCCACTGATGGACCTCTGCTCCATATGCCTATCTAATTCCCTCTTGAAGCCGTCCATGCTTGTAGCCACCACCACTTCCTGTGGCAGTGAATTCCATGTGTTAATCACTCTTTGGGTGAAGAAGTACTTCCTCTTATCCGTTCTAACCCGACCGCTCAGCAATATCATGGAGTGCCCACGAGTTCTTGTATTGTGAGAAAGGGAGAAAAGTACCTCTTTCTCTACCTGCTCTTTCCCATGCATAATCTTATAAACCTCGATCATGTCACCCCTCAGTCGTCGTTTCTCCAAGCTAAAGAGCCCTAAGCACTTTAACCTTTCCTCATAGGGAAAGTGTTCCAACCCTTTTACCATTCAAGTTGCCCTTTTCCCAAAACATGGAGTTGTGGAGTTGTGGATGCTTTCAAAAGCAAACAGCTGGATCACTCAGACAGGTACTCCCTGGTTCCTGTTGCAGGCAAGATGGAGTCCAAGGCAGGGGGATCTGGAGAGCAACGTATGACACCTTAAACTCCCGGGGAGAAAGGGTGGTGAGAGGCCACAGAAGGTGATGGAGACTACAAACATGGACGGCTTCAAGAGGGAATTGGATAAACATATGGGGAGGAGGTCCATCAGTGGCTATTGGCCACAAGGTATAGATAGGAACTCTCAGGCTGGGGCAGGTGATGCTCTGTATTCTTGGTGCTTTGGGGGGGGGGGTCAACAGTGGGAGGGCTTCTAGTGTCCTGGCCCCACTGGTGGACCTCCTGATGGCACCTGGTATTTCTGGCCACTGTGTGACACAGAGTGTTGGATAGAATGGGCCATTGGCCTGATCCAGCACTGGCTTCTCTTATGTTCTTAAAGATAGCTTTGCTATACCACTACATCTGCCCATCTGCTCTCAAACCAGTGGGCCAGTGGTCCTCACCTCTACCCTTGTTAACAGGTGACACTGTAACTAACAGCACGCCATGAAGTTGCAACCAGTTTACGGTGCTCCCAGGACCGTGGGGTTTTCAAGGCAACAGACGAGCAGAGGTGGTTTGCCATTGCCTTCCTTTGCACAGCAACCCCAGTCTTCCTGGGTGGTCTCCCATCTAAGGACTAACTGTTGCCAACCCTGCTTTAGCTTCTGAGGTCTGACAAGATCAGGGTACCATCCAGGCCAGGGCACTTATTTATTTACTTGGATACAGGGCTTTTTTTCTG